GGCAGCAATTTTTCCTTGCAGTTTTCTGTGTGCTATGGAATCAGTATTTCTCTTTTCATAGTCCCTAGAGCCCTTTAGGGCACATCATCTGTCTGGCCTTGACCTTACTGGTTCTTGGTCACTTCCCTCTGCTGCATTGGATGTAAACTACTTGTGTTCAGGGTCTCCTTTTGGTTCATCCATTCTATAATTTTTTGTTGCTTCCTACATAATACTAAGAGAACTTCCAGTTAGCATGTAATACACACCACTGGTGATGAACTGCTGGTTTTCAAGCATGTTGCTTTTGTCTTTCGCCCTATTTTGTTCCACATGGTTGAAGGGACAGCTTTGGAAAGCTGTGTCTGTATTCTAGAGACCACAAAATCCTGATAATGCTTGGGCTGCTGTGGTTTCAAGTGTGTCTTAGCATGCTAATTGTCTTACTGGGGAGATTTACATTCATAAGTGCAGAAGGTGACCCACTCTGCTTCTGGGTTGGCATTTCATAACCCATCTGCATTGCAAAGGCATTTATCTGTTTATTCAATGTCTTTCAGAGCCAAACTTTTTCTCCAACCTTTGAACATTTTTTGTGATTCTTCTCTCTATTCTATCCATGTTTCCAACCTCCTTTAAAAAATGCAAATACCAGAACTTCAAGTGCAAGTCTGATATTATCTTTTTTGGCAATAGCTTGTAGAGTGATAAATTCATCTTACAAATGCTGCTTACTCCTGTGCACCAGAGTATTTAAGGTAGTTTTAATCCTTTTTATTTCAGCATCCCATCAGCAATTCATACTGACTTGGTCAGTCACACTTGTCTCTGAATTATTCTGGAAATTATTTAATTCCAAGGGGAATACATATCCTTTGCTCTGTCAGTGGGGCCTGGGTTCCCCATCCTTGAAAATATAACTAAGTAAGCATTGTGGTCAAAACCAAAACAAACAAACAAAATTAAAAAGAAGAAAAAAAAGCACAATCACAAATCATTAATTGGCTCACTGTATGATTTCTTTGTCTTTATTTCCATTAACCTTTTTTTTTTTTTTCAGTCTGTGCCTCATCAAAACTGACTGGAAACCTTGCAAACCCATCTAGAAATTTCTGATGTTGGTTCCCTTCTGGCAATTTATCTTTTAGATGTCATCTGGCCAATTTGATGTGATTTATTTTGCACTGCAGTGATCTCTCTCTTGCTTTCTTCTCCTCTTACATCTCTGCCTCAAGAAGGAGCTAAGGAGTACACTGGGGGATTGGAAAGCATCCATCTATACTTGTCCTGCTGTTGTACTGTTTCCCTATGATGTTTATGTCTTTATCGTGTCACCTTTCAACTCCCTGTTATTTCAAAACCAAAAAGACCTTATTTCAACCATTCCATTCCCCTAGCCAAGTGGCCTGTACTCCTTCATATGTTTTGAGTTCGACTTTGTGTTTTTGAGATGAGGTGATGGGTGCTTCAAGATACAGACATACTGTAGATTTATGCACTGGCATCTCAATACTTTCTGTTTTGTTCTTTATTCCTTTTCTAATCTCTCCTAACATTCTATTTGCTGTTTTGACTGCCACTAAACACTCAGTTGATATGTTCAAAGAACTATATGCAATGACTTCAAGACTGTTTTCTTGAGTGGTAATTGCTAATTTAAAACCTATCATTGTGTTTGTAGCTAGAGATATTTTATTTCTTCTGCACATTGCCTTCAGTTCATTGGCACTGGATTTCATTCTCTTATTTTATTGCCAAGTCACTCAGCATTGTGAGATCCTTTGCAGTCAGCTTTAATTTTTATTGCCTTTAATAAACCAAGGCTATTATCTCACCACAGCCTGGAACAAGGTTAGTTTGACAAAATCTATTTTCATGTCTGTCTTCTCTTTGTTAACATGAATTTTGATATCTTTTTTTTTTCCTCCTGATTATTTATATTAAAAAAACCCCAAACAACCCAGAAGAGTAAAATATTTTATGTTTACTTGCCCAGAAAAGATATGAAAAAGAGCAAAGTAAATATGTCACATTGTCAAAACTGTAATTTCCAATTATTTATGCTATTTTATGAGTCTGTCTTTGAAACATTTGTTTCTTATTTTGGCTTTGCACTTAAACTAAAAGTTGTTTTGACTGTTGATGGGGAAGTTCAGTATGTGACCCAGCTCCATTGATGTACAGAGCAGAGAAACAATTCAGCTGAAGTTTTTCAGCCAGACCTCTCCGCTTTTATTCTTCTCTTAAGTTAAGAGAATGTTCAAGAAATTAATAAATGTGAAGGACAAAATTTTCTAAAGAAAGAGATTCCATTCCTGGCCATAATGAAGCAGTCACACAGTGCAAGGTTCTCTCAGTTTCTTGTGTCCTGTTCACTTGCTTGCATTAATCTTTTTTAAATTCCAGGAGGTCTGAGTTCATAATTCTAAAAAGCTTTTCTGATGTTTCTCTTCCTTATTTTTTTGGAAGGACTATAGAGGGGGAGAACAGGAAATGAGATGGCTTACCCTTACTTCATGCACAGCATGCTCATTTATAGCAACATGTCAGTACTCTGATGGTGCCCCTAAGCATCTGTTGCAGTTACTAGCTAGACATTACAGTATTTGGTAGGGAAAACATTTATAGGAAGTAGTATTTGTAAGTAGCTATTAGTTTAAAAAGCTTAAAACATGATGCTGCAATAGTGGATTTATTCTGGTGGTCATTGGAGTGGTTTTTGTTCTTTTTCCTGGACACCAAATATAAATTCCCAGTCAAGTTTACATTGCTTTTAAAGGACACTGCAGAAAGGGAGACAATGGAAGACTAATTTTAAAGGGTGAAATCTGTCCATCAACATTCTTTGTGACACTTAAGTATTTTGTTGTGAAAAACTCTTAAGAGAAACTGTTCTAATAAGAATTACTGTGTTTGTAAAATGGTTCATCAATTAACATGTTCTTACTGCATTAGTTCCTTTCAGTGAGGACCCATGTAGAAGGGTTAACACTGAGATTCATCAAAGTGTAAGGTTGGGATTTCTCTTCTGAATTCCCTAAGGTTCTTGAACTAGCACTTACCTCTCACATAATTTTATTACAGATTGTTGACTCTTCCAACAGTTTTCTATTGGCAGAGTGGTTCCTAAAAATGCTGAACTGTTCTGATCCATTGATCAAAACCTATCAAAATTCCAGATACCTTTGTTTTTTTTAAATAATCTGTGCCAAGAACCAATAAAATGCAGTATTTAAAATGGCCTTACAAGGAGAGAGGGAGAATATATCTTCCTTCCTGCAAAATCCCTAAGTCCCAAGGAGCATTAAAAAACTGCTAAAAGAATGCTGGTGGTTGACATTGGCTGTTAATAGGAAAGTCAAACTTTGCATCTAGAAACCAACCCTTTAACAATTTTTTTTTTCCTTTCAAGTTCAGAAGAATCAGTTTTCTTGGAGCTAAATAGACAGAATTAAGTCTCAAGTAAAAAATCAAGCTATTAATTTTAATTGAGCATTCTATGCCCAAACCTCTTCATATATTTGGTATTTTTCTCTTTCGTACTTGATCTTACTTTGGCAGTCTTTCTCAAGGGTGTTTAAAGAAGAAATTGATAAATAAGAATTTAAAAAGCTCATAGTGAAGACTTTTAAGTGAATACACTAATGGAAAGGCACATCAATTTGTGTTACTTTAACCATCAAGGAAAGCTTGTGTTATGGAGAGTGACTTTTGAGCATAGTCTGAGCAATGGTAATTTTTGTTGTTAAATATTCAGTGGTACAGCTGATTCTGCTGCTTTCAGACCAAGGAATGATTGGGTGCTTCCATCCCATTACCTTAATAGTGAATTTAAACTACTGGTTTCTAATAGTCTCTACATTATGGATAAATATCAAATGCCATGAGCTGTTATTTCTGGAGATGTATCTTCTAAGTCCTAATTTCAGTTCTGTTTACAGCATGATACAGGGAATCATTAGTGTTACTGCATGGATAATGGTTATATTTTGCATTTATGCACAGCAATCCACTGAACTCCTTGAATGAGTTCTTGGCATTTCCCATACTAGTAAAAGAAAACATTTTGAAAGGATTTCCCAAGCAAACCTCAAACAATTAAGGATGACTAGCATAGTCAATAGACATGGGTTTGTATTAATTATAAAAACACTGTGCACAGCAGATGACAGGAACTTCTTCACACAACTAGAAAATCCAAATATTTTTACTTAAAAACTGTCTAAATTATAAGAGATTCTGACTTCTTACATTAGGTGTCAACTTTAGGAACCTTTTGTCAGTATCTGAAAATTTACTAAGAAAGGTTGAGAGTTCAGTGATCTTTCTGTCAAAATCCTTTATGGACTAAATGTTACAAATACAAAATATTGCAGCAAGAGGGAAGACGTGCTCTGATCATGAACTGCAGAAATTTAATAACTTTGATTATTTTTTTCTTCCTTTTCTGTTTTTCTGGGACTGTAACATGGTAATGTTCTTTGGGATGTTTTCCTTGGGCGATTCCCTGTAGAAATACTCAATTTGATAAAGCAGACCTATTGTCATGTGCAAACCTAGTTCCTCAAACTAATTATACCTCCTGCATAGTTATCATTCCTGCATCCCAAGAAATTATTCAGAAGTCAAAAACTGAGAGAAGTGCAAATTAGTATCAGTTTTTTTCTGTAGTTATCTTCTTTTTCCATCTGCTCAATGTGGAACGTGCAGTGCATATTTGTAGAGACTCTAGTGGGTATGTGGATGGTTGGAACAGAGCTTTGTCCCATGCTAATGCAGCTTCATGGGAAAAACCACAGCTGCAGAGGTGCACATTCTCTTTAGACTTTGAACTTGGATGGTTGGCTGTAGTTTGTCATCCTGGTACAGTTTAGTTTTTCTCTATTTTTGTGGGGTTTTCTCCACACTTAAATGTATTTTCATTACCTTTGATACACTAAAAACATAAGCTTTTCCAGACTATTATGTTAAAATTACTTCTTTTTGTTTTGTTTTGTTTTGTTTTTTTTTTGTAATTGCAGTTGTTTCTTATCCTTACTGCTGGTAGCTGCTGTCGTTTGGAAAATCAAACAAACCTGTTGGGCTTCTCGACGGAGAGAGGTATAAATAACTTTAAGATTATTGTGATAGCTTTATCTTTCAGAATAAATTGAGAGCTTTGGTGAATAATCACACCTCCACTTTCTCCTGTATACACGATTTAAATATCCCTCTAAGCACTTTTTATATTTTTTTACCCTGGACATTTTATGCTGAAGAAGAAAATATTGCTGCTTCCTCCTGTCAAAAATTTCCTGTCAGAAATTGTTGCAGAAAGCTGTGTGTGTCACTGGGTACCAGGGAGAAGACCTCAGTCCCTCCCTCTCCCCTTCCTTAGGAAGCTGAAGGGAGCAATGCATTCACTCCTCAGCCTCCTTTTCTCCAAACTATACAACCCCGGAGCCCTTAGCCACTCCTCACAGGACATTCCTTCCAGCCCTTTCACCAGCTTTGTTACCCTCTTCTGGAAGCATTGAAGTACCTTAACATCCTTTTTAAATTGTGGGGCACAGAGCTGCACAGAATACTCAAGGTGAGGCTGCACCAGTGCTAAACACAGAAAGATAATCACCCTTTTGACCAGCTTGTTATACTGTATTTAATCCCAATATTCTCAATAGTCTCAAAATATTAGTGCAAATATAGTGGTAAATTGAGTGGATGGGAGATCATAGTGCATCATCTCAAACTTTCTAGGAAGCACCTGGATACTGTGACTTAGGCAGTGTTTTTATCAACCATCATGGGAACATACAGTAGGAGAGAAGCCTCTCTTTTTAAAATTTCCCCATTCTTTGTCAATAATTTTTATTTATTCTAAGCAAAATTATTCTCTATTAATATATTAACATATATTAATGTATCTATTAGTATCTATTAATATTAATTATTTCTCTATTAATATTAGTAGTTTTGTCATTAAAACCATGGCACAATTGAAGCTCTTTGGTGTCTAAATTGTTACACCTGCATTGGAAAATTTGGCCCAAATATTTATTGCCACCTGTTTAACAAATTCTTAGACTTATTAGAGATTAAACATGGGCTTTGTATACTGCTACATGTCTGTAGCATGATTCAGATGATGTATACTGATAGGTGCTATATTTAATTTTTTTCTCTTTAATAAGATATGTAATCTGTATAAGTGGTTTTTTTCTCCTTGAAGCTTCTAATCTTGATAAATTCTGGGAACAGCACTTGCTTAATGGTACTGTAATTTAGATGTGTTTTATTTATTATTTTAAAAAGCTAATTATTTCTCTAATTATTTTTGTTCGTATGGCACAGGAGTTTTTATTTTTTTAATTATTATTATAATTATTATTTTATTGTGGATCTACAGTGAATTTATATAAGATTTAGAAGTGTGAGGTAATGAGCACTTATAATTTTCCTAATTTTCCTTCACTGAAATTATAGCTTTCTAATGCCTAGGTTTAGCTTTGAACTGGTGCCACAAAGAAAATGGTTTATTACCATAGTTTTTTCATGTAGGTATTTTTTTGTTCAGAAGACTAGTATTAAGCATATTCTTCCTATAAGGGGAAGTGCTCATGTATTTGTTATTACTTGCAAGCTACGGATAAATGTTATTTTAAACTACAATATTCTCTTCAACTTACTAATATTTCTGATGACTTTGTCTCAATTTTTACCTTGTTGATAGTTCCGTGCAAAATTGTATTTTGATGAAATGCAGCAATTCTTTTATTTCAGTTCTCATATTAAGAAGGTTAAGTTTTGTCAAGAACAAATATGAGTACACAGGTTTACACATCTAGGAAGTCTAGTCTTTTTTCTGTGGTTACTCTCCTAGATGTCTGAAATGCAGTATTTTTCATGTAGTCTGTAGGCATCATCCTGTAAGGAAAACATTCTCCTTGAAAAAGATTGTTAAGTTTTCCAAGTTTTATTTTCCTAATGAAACAAAAAGCATTTCTAAGATAAGGTGAAACCTCAGAAACATCATAAACATAAATAAGCTTCTTTGGACAAGTAATATAGAAAGAAGTCCTTGGCAACTGAATTAAAACCCTCAGAAGTCCATGCTTCAGTTCTGATCCTTGGTTTCCCTTGAATATAACTAGAGAAACTTAGTTGCCTCTCATTCAGAAATGTTCCTTGTTTAATTTAAAAATTACATTAGTATGTATATCCTCCTAACTTAAATGAGGTGTGAAACAGTACCTAGACTGTGGTAGCATTACAAAGTGTGAATGTTTAAGCAAATCTCCTTTATTTTCAGTCTGCTGCTGCTGTGCAGTAGCAGTTCACGTCACATACAAGTTTTCAATAACACTCTACATAATATTCTCCTTTCATCTAGATCAGAGAAGATGTTTTCATAGCTATAATTTTTTGTAAGTTTTTGGAATTAAGTGTTTCAAATAAATTGTATGATGAGCACACAAATAGAAGGCAATCTATTATTGAAAAGAATTCTGAAGTACTCTACTTTTAAAGCCCGGCCATTTAGGCAGATGAGCTTTCCGTCTCTTTCATCATTCATGAAAGACAAGAATGTTTGACTCCTTAGATGTCACTTTCAATATGGACACAAACTACAGTAAGAAGTGAAATGTAAGAAGAATGCAAAAAAATATGAAAAACCATGCTGCTAATAGCTATTCAGCCATTTATTTTTCATCCCAGTCTGCTTCCTAGAAGAGAATCTTCTCCTAGAGGAGAAGAAACTTTCCTGTCTAGTTCTTGTGATCTTTTAGTAATGAATTTTATCAGGCTGTTGAGGTAAGCAAATAATTATTTGAAGTTTTCATAGACTTCTGTGTGTAGCTGAAGATTCAGAACTTTCTCCTTTTTTTGCTTTCTGACTTTAACGCTTGGCTAAACTGGGTCATTATTAACTCCAAATAAAATGTACCATGACCTCAATCCAATGCAAAGCAAGAGCAAGTTATTTGCATTGTGTAGTGGGAATGTCTCAATTTTCCCATGAATTTAGATATTTTCTCTCCAGTTTATTTCCTAATTGATTGCCCATTGAGCAAATACTTGCTTTCCGCTGCTTAGATCACTGCCCAAATCTTACTGAGTAGTTAATTTGAATTTAGGCTGTACTATATGAACATACAAGAAACTATTATATGTACATAAAATAAATAAACACATTTTGTCAGATAAATTGATGTTTATCAACACTGAATTTAACTTCCCTTTCTGCATATCTATTGGTCCTTCAGTTTATTTAGTTGACACGATTTTTCTCTAGACCAAGCCCTGGAGTTGTGATAATTACTTTTTTTTTTAATCATCAAGAAGTTTTGGTACTCATCTTTTCCCTACTTACATTACTGCCCCTTAGCATATACTTTATCTAAGGCTTTTTGAACACATTAACTCCTGGCTGAGCTTCTCTTCTGCCTTCTGAAAGAGGAAGAAACAGCAGATAGACTCTATCCTTGTACCATCAAAGTTGTTCTCCTTCTGCATTGAAAGAAAATAGGAAGTATTTTAATTCATAGTTCCAAAAAGATCAATGAAACTTTGAGCAGGAGAACATGAACAACCTCCTGCCTGGCATCACTTAAATGCCTTCCCCCAGTCTTTCCTCCTATGGATCCATGACACATAAAATAAGGGTTTTAAGACAGGCTGAGGTAGGATAGTGAGGTATTGCTCATCCGAGAGAGCTTAATCCTTAAAAGGAGTAACACAGACTATCATGAGATTATTTCCAAAGCATTATTCTTATGGCACTATCTTCCTTGAGAAACAAAGCAGAAGGAACTGGGAACAGTCTCATGGGTACCAAATCTCAAATTCCTGCTTACCAAGCAGGATAATGTTTGCAGGCAAGCATGGAAATACATAGAGGAGTAGATAAAGGGCAAGATATATTTGCTTGTTAAGTAAGCTAAAGGAGTTCCTAAGTATTGCAAAGTCTAGGGGCAGAAGAGCATGTTTAGAAGAGTCTTATATGACACAAAAGGATTGGATATTTACTCTAGGTTTTAACCTCTCATCCATCTTTTTTCCTCCAAAGACTCACAAATCTTTCTACCACTACCTTTCTCAGTGAATTTCACTTGTTCACTCGATGAAGAAATGAGCTGTCATTTGCTCCCACAAGATATGTTAGGCCTCTTGCATTTTATACCCAGAATTCACCCAAGAGCTCATCCACAAAGTTTCAATCTGGCTCTGTTTTCCTTCTTTATACAAAAATAAATAAATACATAAATAAATAAATCACCCAGATTTACCAAATAAAAAAAAAAAAAAAAGAAGATAGTATTATTTGTTGTCTCTGCATGCTTCATATCTAAAGTACTCATTTAATCTTCAGTTGAGAATGGGTAGAAAAGAATCTGTTCATAGATCATTTTACTGAAAAGCTTGATGTGTTGCCTGCAAGTTTTCTGGTGGCTCAAGGGTTTTTTTAATGAACTACTTCTGATTGAAAGGCATCACACTGCAGATAAAATTTGCATCCAAATGATTTCTTATTAATAGTGTGTCAAACTTTTCTTTTTGCTGACAAGATTACACTGAGGTCACTGACAAAGTTCAAACAGATGGGATTATAAACCACACTGCTTCTAGTTGAGGTATTTTAGCAAAGTGTTTTTCCTTCATAAAATAAAGCATTTGCTGCTTGGATACTCTTTGTACTATTCATTCAGCCAGATATTTTATAAAATTGTTGCCTTTAGTCCAGAATCATGCAGTCAATGATGTATAGACGTGGTCTTCCTCTCCCTCAGACACACACAAAATATGTCCATGTGCCGAGGTGTCATGTATGGTACATATATTTGTGAATATCAGATCAGTCAGGTAAAATGCAGTTTTACGTATTTCCTTATGAAAATATTTCTTGTACATATTTTTATAATTACACACTAGAAAGAGCTTACATATCTTAAAAAGATAACTTAGACTCTTATGTCTTTGTGTAATACACTATAAGTCTCCTGAGAAATGAGGAAGCAAAGCATGATTGTACATTTAAGTAAAGTGTTTGAAAGCATGGTATTGTATGTGTAAACTGCTTGCCTAACTTTAAAGGTTAATATCCTTTCTTTATTTTTTTTTCA